GGCCCTCCTCCTCCCTTCCCTTCCTCCTTCTGCCTCTCTTCTGACTCTTCTGTTTGTCTCGTTGGCCCTCTCTCTCCCTCTCTCTCTCTCTCTCTCTTTCTCTCTCTCTCCTCATTCTCTTTCCCCCACCCCTTCCTCTCTCCCACCCTCACTCTGTGGTTTTTCTCTATTATAACATTTTATCATTTTTTTCAAGGCTAGGTTCACTGGCCTCACAATAATTTTCTTGATTTCAATCTGTAGTGAGTATCACCAGGGAGAAGCTATTTTTAATACATGTATGAGATACAGATAAAGTCACAAACATGTATGGTGCACTTTTGGAGCACTACTACATGAATATTGGTAAGTCATTGACTACTATTAGATTGTACAGATTTAAAGACTTAAACACAATATGGAAGGAAAATTTCCCTTGAGCAAATGACACTGACAAAATTAGGTACATTTTACCAAAAGAATTAAAGACGAATGCCCAGTTTGAATTCATAAATATTGTACATAGCACTAAGAATTTGAGAGTCAACTAGAAACATTAAATGCAAAATTAAAAGTGGGAAGAGTCAGTAGACAAGCGATTCTTCGAAGGTTTCTTAGTTATTATAAAACAAATATTGGTGGCAGGCTAGTTTGGAAGAAAGGAAGTTTGTGGGGTGGGCACTCTGCCCTGAGGGCTCTGGAGTCCCGGATGGGAGGGGCTTGTGCCTGATGGGTGACCCCGCAGCCCGGCAGGAGGCTCGGCTGGGCCTGTCCTTGGAGCTGCTCATCCTCAGAGAGCTCAGGGGGCCTTGGGGCAACGGGGCATCACCACTCCAGTGACCTGACGACTTCCCACCAGACCCCAGCCCTGCGGCCCCCACTTCTCTGCAGACCAAGCTTCTAGCACATGGAGCTTTGGGGGCTCTCCAAAGACTTACTTTGTATTTATTTGCACAGATAATCTGCAGGTTAGTAATACCTTTGAAGGCTTACCTGTTTTGAAATGCAAAGGAATTTCCTTGTAACATAAATGTGTCAATTATTCTTTATCGAGTTCTAAATTTTTTTATTCTGAGTAAAGATTCCATTAACCAAAATGATATGTGGTTTTGTTATAGCATATCTGATTTTTATATGTAAGGATTTCATAAGGATTTTCTTGTGATATAACCCACACACTACGAAAGCGACCCTTTTAAGTGCGTAGCTCAGTGGTTTATAGTACATTAGCCAATTTGTGACCATTACAGCTATCAAAGTTGAGAATATTTTCATCATTCTTAAGTGACTTACTATTCCTACTAGCAGTCATTTTCCTGCCTGACCCCTGAGTCTTTAGTTATGCATAATACGTTTTGGTGTAATGGTGTGTCCATAGTGGAGATTTCATGTAATTGAATTCACAATGTGTGACTTTTTGTGTCTGGCTTTTTTCATTTATCATAGCATTTTCAAGATGTACCTATGTCATGTATAAACCAGTACTGTCTTGGTGTTTACTGCTAAGTAATATTCCATTGTGTAGATATAACACGTTGTGTTTATCAGTGGATAGACATTTAGAGTTTTTTCACCTTTTGCCTATTAAAGGCAGTACCAGCATTTGCATGCAGTTTGTGTGAAGAGAGTTTTATTCTTTTGGTATATAGGTAGGAGTAGAATTGCTAGTTGTCAGTAATCGTGTGGCTTTGGGAGGGATCGCTAAGCTGTTACCTGAGGCCGATGTGCCATGTAGTATTTTTTCAGCAGCTGGAGACTCCAGAGCGTCCTTCTCTTTCCTAAGGGAGGGTTATGTTGCTAGTTTTTAATTTTTGACACCCTGGTGAGCGTGCAGTTGAATTTCACTGTAGTCTTTATTTGCGTGGCTGTATTGCTAAGATGTTGCACATCTTTTATGTGCTTATTGCCTGTCTGTGAGCCTTTTGAAAAAAGTGTCTATTTGAATTCTTACGCTGTTTTCATTGAACCATTCTCTTTGTTATTGTTGAGTTGTGATAGTCCTTTATGTAAACTGGACATAGCACCCTTACCACACATAAATGATTTCTGAACTATTTTCTCATTCTGTCAGGTGTCTTTTCACTTTCTCGATAGTGTCTTTTGGTAAGAAAACAGTGTTTTCCATATGGATTAAGTCCCATTTACTTCTCTTTTCCATGTGTTTCTTACACATATCCACCCACCCTGAAGTCACTGCCCGGCACTCTTGACGGGGAGGCGGGTTACGTGACTGGAGTCAGCGCACTCTCCCTGGCCTGCAAGTGTTTCTTCCCGTCGGGAGGCGCAGACGGGCCCCGCCTCAGCTGAGGACTCTGCCTTGCCCTTCACTTCCTGTTGTTCAGGGCACCGTGGCCTTCCAGCCCAGCCCCGACCTGCACGTCGGGGTCCTCCACATTCCCAGGGGCATCCGGCCACACACTGCCGGTTGGTTCCCCCGTTTTCCTTTTCCGGTTTTGGGGTTTAATTCGTTTGTTTTGCTTTGGCTGGTTTCATTGTCTCTTGTCTCAGGAGAAATGTGGAACAGGTGCTACGGTTTCTCTTTGACGGGGCTGTAGTGATAGCACTGCTCACACGAAGAGAGAAGTCCGGGAATGTGAGCCTCTGACCAGCGGCCCTCTGAGCGGCGGGGGCAGCGCTGAGCCCGTGCCCACCCGAGTCGTCTCCGATGCAGGTTTTCACAGCTGGTGTCTTCACCAGGCGCTCTGTCCAAGGTGATCCTGCAGCTGGGAGACAGGATGGGGAGCTGAGTTAAAACGACAAGTCTTCCCCTTCCTACCGAGTCCCATTCACTCATTTTCAGAAATACGATGCGGATTGGTAGAAGCATTTGTCTCTTTCCAGAATTCAGGACAAAAAATGAATTTTGACAACTTTTTCCCCAGTGTATTCATTGCCTTTAATGGCAGAGATTTTTCTTGTTTTTAAGCTGCTGTTCCAAGGGGCTTCTTCTTTTTAAAGTTTATTGGTTCATTTTAGGTATACACTATGATGACATTCATCACTGGGAACTTGTACCTTTACCTGATGTATCTTGGTTCTTATTTTTTCCCCATTCCCCTGCCCTCCCTTCTCTATTTACGACCTTCCCAACCCTTCTACCCTTCCCTATTTACAAAGACTTTGTTTCTTTTGAAGAGTTTCTTCCTATTTCATATTATCTACTACATTTTGGTCTTTATTTACCCTTTCAGTTTTTCACATCAGAGAGACAATGTGAAATTTAAACATATGTGTCTAATTTATTTCACTTAAGAGTATAGTCTCAAGTTGCATCTATTTACCTAGAAATGTCTCAAGTTTATCTTTCTTTACGGCTGAGTAGTACTCCATTGTATTTTTTTTTTTTAAACCACATCTTTTTTTGTCCATTCATTAGTTGATGGGGATTTGGACTGTTTCCAAGTTTTAGCTATCACAAATTTTGCTGCTATGAACATGGGTGCACATATATCACTGTGGTATGATTCTTTTAATTCTTTTGGGAAGATCCCCAGCAGTGGAATAGCTGGGTCAAATGGGACTTCCAGTCCTAGTTCTTTGAGGTATCTCCATACTGATTTCCACAGTGGTTGCACCAGTCTACACTCCCACCAGCAGTGGAGCAGGGTTCTTTTCTCTCCACAGCCCAGCCAGCATTTGTTATTGGTTGATTTCATGATAAGAGCCATTCTTTCTGGAGTGAGGTGGAATCTCAGCATAGTTTTCATTTGCACCTCTTGAATACCAGTGATGTTGAACATTTTTTCACGTATTTATTTGCTATTTCTACTTCTTTGTCTGAGAAATGTCTGTTCATTTCAGATGCCCATTTTTGGATTGGGTCTTTAAATTTGGGAGGTCTGATTTTTTTAAGTTCTTTATATATTCGAGATAGTAGACCTTTGTCTGAGGAAGAGCAGGTGAAGATTTTTTCCCACATTGTGGGTTGTCTCTTCACACTGCTGGTGGTTTCTCTTGCTGTGGAAAAGCTTTTTAGTAATAACAGATCCCACTTGTTGATTGTTTGTGCTAGTTCACGGGCAACTGAGGTTTTCTTCATAAAATCTTTTCCTACACCAGTGTCTTCAAGAGTTCTACCTAACCTCTGCTCCAGCCGATTCAGTGTTTCTGTTCTAATATTTAGGTCTTTAATCCATTTTTATTTTAGCTTAATGCATGGTGAGAGATATAGGTCTAATTTTAATCTTTGGCAAGTTGAAACCCAATTTTTCCAGCACCATTTATTAAAGAGGCTACCTTTCCTCCAGTGAGGGTGTTTGGCTCCTTTCTCAAAGATGAGATGGCTGAGTGTGTCTGGAGTTGTTTCTGCATCTTCTAATCTGTTCCACTCATCCTCAGGTCTGTTTCTTTGCCAGTACCATGCTGTTTTTAATCACAGTAGCTTTGTAGTATAGTTTCAAGTTGGGGGTTGTGGTATCCCCAGCCATATCTCTGTTGCCTAGAATTGCTTTTGCTATTCTGGGTCTCTTCTTGTTCCAAATGAATTTTTGGATTATTTTCTCAAGGACCATGAAGTATGCTTGTGGGATTTCAATTGGGATTGCATTGAATCTATAGAGCAGTTTTGGAAGTATGGCCATTTTCACTATGTTGATCCTTCCTACCCAGGACCAGGGGATGTCTTTCCATTTTCTGTTATAATCTTCAGTCTCTCTTTTCAATAAGATTTTCACCTTTCAGACAAAATTTTCATAATTTTTATCTTTTAATTCTTTTGGGAAGATATCCAGCAGTGGAATAGCGGGGTCAAATGGGACTTAAGTCCTAGTTCTTTGAGGTATCTCCATACTGATTTCTACAGTGGTCGCACCAGTCTGCACTTCCACCAACAGTGGAGAAGGGTTCCTCTTAAGCAAATGATATTGTACAATGGTTAGCCAAGGTCCTGGACAATTATAAGGATCATTTTGATAATATTAAGACAATACTTTAGTCTATTTATTTTGCCAATTAATGTACTTTTAAAAAGTAAAATTTTGAAAATGCCAACACCTTTATTTTATTTATTTTAATTTCTCTAGGACTTTGGAGATGATGGGTCTTTGTACATCACTAAGGTCACCACCACGCATGCGGGCAACTACACCTGCTATGCAGCTGGCTACGAGGACATCTACCAGACGCACATCTTCCAAGTGAATGGTGAGCAGTGTGGCGTCACCACAGCCCTCCCCACCTCCCCTCCTTCCTTCCCTCCTTCCTTTCTTTATTTTGGCTTCCCTTGATATTCAAAGATCATGGCTTCAATATTTGAACTTTGGCAAGACTCTCACTTTCTGTTTTGGACTTCATGTAGGAGCTTTTTAAATTAAAAAAGTGCCCAAGTGAATAGACACTATAAATTAGTAATCATTTTCACATTATAAAATATTATAGTGACTCATTTTAATTGGAAAACTATACAATTTAACTTTTCAATATATCAACAATTCTGCAAACAACATAGATTTTAGAAACTGAAAAAGTTACAATTTAAACTTTCATCAGATAAACTGTGTAGTTGGTCTTACTAATATTATAGGAGGTACTTGATTTTATGTAGCACAGTTTATATTGTTAATGGTTTATTTAATGGTCACAGTGTTCACCAGCTATGCTGTCACTCACACACTGGAACTTTGCTGTATTCCTGATTTAATTCAGATTTCAGCTATTAACTTGAATTGACATTGGGCGGTATGTTTATTTATTAATAAACAGTATGATTTTTTAATGAATACCAGTTCATTTCCACAACTGAGGGTGCCATATATGTTTACTCTGATCTATAAGAATGAGACAGAGACTCACACGGCTTTCTGTAAGAAGAGAAAGACGGCTCATGTGATTTTCATGAAGAAGGGAGAGCAGATCCTGGTTTTGGGAAAGTGGCCTGGGATGAGCTCACACGGAGCCCTGTGGACTTCAGTCCACATCTGGATCTCAATTATAACTGCAATGCAAAACATCTAAAAGGATGAGTCTACTGGAGAGCATGTTCTGATTTGGTTTAAAATGAATAGTTTGTTTAAAGACTATTTTATTTTTGCGGTGAGAGATAGTGGTTACTTAGAACTTAGTGGTAATGGAGTTACATGGGGTGGTCCAATTTGGAATATATTTTGAAGTTACATCTGACGTGCACTGAAAAATATCACGTGAGCACAAGGACAAAAGAGTTTTTAAAACTTGAGCATAAGGAATTTGAAGGAAGCAGTTAGTATGTGCTTGTGCAATTCACTGGGTGAAGAAGGAGCAATTTGGAGACTGAGCAAGAGGTGTTCTTATCAAGTTAATATTTATGCAATTATCGGTGGAAAAGTCAAGTGCTGAATTGAGTGAAAACCCAAAGTTGTACATTTAGATAACCTCAATGTGGACAGATTGCACTTAAAGCCACACTGTGAGCTTGATGAAGGCACCTTAGGAAAGCATGTGCATGGACACAAGGCCCGAGGACTGAAGCTAGGGTCTGGAATTGACAGACGGAGTGGCAAACCCTATGCCCTGGACATTGAATAAGAAAATGTCATCACAAACTTGGAAACCTTATGGAGTCATGTTTTACCACCTTAACCCTCAACAGACACAGATCTGGGCCTGGCTAGGGGCTAACCCCAAAGTCCACCAGACTGGGTGAGTTCTTTGATCTCAGCTTTCCTGGAAGCTAGTGAAGAAAGCAGCCGGATGTGAAGGAATTCGTACGAGCTGCTCCAGTGGCCTTGGGTGTTTGGAGCTGGACTTTTAAGGCAGCTGCCCGTGAGTCAGCCGGGGATGCTTCCTGGCTAGACGCCGTACCCACCGGAAATGACCGCAAGTCTGGCCCTCACTCCTGTCTTGTTGGTGACTGTTTACTCACCTCTGGCCAGTTTGACAAGTCTAATGCCCTGTGTTTGTGTTTTCTTTTGATAGTTACAGTTATTCTTTGCTTTGTCTATTGCTAATCATTCTTTTTTCTCTTAACCTTGCTCTCTCTCCTAGTTCTGGTCTCAGAACTTGGTAATTTTTTAAAACTACACGGTTCATGTTCAGTCTGCATCAGAGTCATTTGAAAATCAACAAAAATGCAGATTTCTCGGTTTCATCTGTGCTCTTTGGAAGTGTGGCTTGCAATGTGCGCTTTGACAAGCTGCCCAGGTAGTTGTGGGAGTGGGACAGTGTGCGAATCTCCACAGTGGCCGCTGTTCAGGGCAGTGTGCTCCTCGCTTGTGTCTGGGGCAGTTGCTGACATTGCTCACTCACCTGTGAAGCTCCGGTGGAGAAGCCTGGGGAGGAGCCTGTGTCCAAGGACAAGCAGGTCTGCACGGGAAACACGGGCATGTCTCATGTCATTTCACCCCCGTGAGTGAACTGCTTGCAGTCTGTGAACATCTGTGAGTGATCTCTGGCTTTTTGTGAAGATGCAAAATAGAATAATGAGATCTTGGACAAGGTCTCCGCTACCAGTCTTCACATTAATTGGGAGGAACTCAGTACCAGCAATGACTGTGTGTGCCACATTCTAGCTCTTCTCCTTTCCTAGGACCAAAGATCTCTGCAAAGGTCACTTGCAAGGAGTAAAAATGGTCTTGCCATGGAGTTCTCGGACACTAAAACTTCTTGAGTGCTTTTGTATCAAGGTTTTCTTGTATAGTTGGGGTTTGGGGAAAAGAAGAGCCATGTTATCATTGCTAAGAGAGCAAACAGGATGAGGCGGTAATTTAAGCACCACACTTTCAGTACTTGGGTGTAAGCATTATGCTTTGTAAGATGACTCGATATCAAGTACTGAAAAGAAACTATGATTAAAGAAAACTCAAGAAAGAATGGACTGAGAAAGGAATAATGCTGGTATTGTCTCCCCTGCAGGAGAATGTCAGCTGACGGTAAGCAGGTACCTGTGACAGCTCCAATGCATGGGGTCCAGGGAGGGACAACCACAGTAGTTCCAAGTATAATCATTTATGCTGATAGAAATGACCCAGTCATGGTGAAAAGCAGATGATACAGGAGGAGAAGGACAATTGCAGTCATAAAACACTTAAATTAAAAAGTTGCTGTGACTGAAAGTACAAATGGAGGAGCGGGTCTCCAGAAGATGAAGAAACAGTTTATCAGTGCAAACAGAAGGGGCTGGAGAAAGACACTGGGCGTGGGACAGTGAGGTGACTCCTGGCATCATTTGGATTATTTCTCAGTAGAAGTGAGATTGCTGAAAGTGAAGTTTGTGAGGGTGCAGTGGTTGAGGAGGAATACGAAGCGATTATCTCACAGAGCAGGGCAGTGAAAAGAGCAGCACGTCCTTGGTCTTTAGACAGGATGCAAGGTGCCCTGGAGGTGGTGGCTGTTGGTCCGCTGCCTTCCGTTGCCCTTGACTTGGGAGTGCCAGGCAGACAAAGAGGAGATTGGGCTTAACAAACACCATTTGTCAGGTGGGTGAATAGGAGAGAAGGGGGTGAGTTAGTCAACTCTACAAATACTGTGATTACCCTGGTGTACCGCAGAGCCAGTGGGCAGTTAGAACTGAGCCAGGAGGAAAGTGAGATGGCGTGACAGCTGAGTGGGCTCACAAGATGGTCAGTTATTCGTAGAATGAAGTACTGGGGGGAAGCGAGGCAGTGGCTTTGCTCCAAATATTTCTCAAAGCATCTGGCAATTTCTGTTTGTAAGAAGTGCTTATAATTAGGTCAAGTCTGTGCAGAGGAGTCTTTGCCCCATTAAGATTCCCTAAGTGCTTAGACAGCTCAACTTTACTTCTAATGAAATTCTTCAGCTTTGACCTTGGTGACACAGGAGAAATGTGGTATAGAATCCTATGGATTCATAAATTCATCCATCATAGATCAAAATGTATCCTATTGCATTTGTATCAAAAAAGAAAGACAATAATTGCATCTCAAGAATTATTTGTAATGTGTAAACCTATTTGAAGAGCTAGACAACAGAGTAGAAGCAAGGGATTATCTTTTAACTCCTATCACAGAGCTCCAAATCAGTGGGAGTTGAAGATACAGGTATACTTTCTTGACACATTAGAAGGGAGGTTGTGATATGGGGGAAAATATAACTCCTAACCTACTAGATGTCAGGCACATGGAGTTCCTGTCCTCTGAAAGCGAAGAGTGAATTCCAAAGGACAGAGGAGCTGAAGAGTGGGAAAGGGTTACTGGGGAATGGGAACGGCTCCTGGGAGACAGGAGGAGTCCTGGAAGGGGGTGGCCACCGGGCCCCTCGTCAGGGGTAATTCACACAGCAGAGCCACAGTGTGGGCACAACATGAATCAGACTGGCATCAGCCTGTAGGATCACAGGTATAGCTGCTTGGCTGACATTGGTCCGGTAGGAAAGCACAGCACATAGAAAGGGGACACGGAAGGAACAGAGGTGTTTTGGGAAGGGTCCAGTCTGGATGCTATGGTCACCCACCCGGGAGACTGACGCCTGTCTGGACTTCCGGGACCTGGTGGTGCTGATGACAGTATAATTCCAAGTTGCTGCTTATCCCTCAGGGAAGCAGATAGCCCTGGCCATTGGATCTTCATCTTGGGCCTGGCCTTCTTCAGATGCTCCTCCAGCCACAACTCTGACGTCTTTATTTTTTCAAGGGCTTCCTTGAGAGCCCAGTCCCCCCCACCCCCGACTGTATATTAATGTACCTCTAATTAGCTGCCTATAATCATTGAACATGGCAACCACTATATGATGTCCTCAATAGCATAAGCGTCTCTCTTATGATTAGCTGATGGATTATCCTCTTCATGGCATCCAGTGTTTGCAAAGTGGCTGTGGGAATGCTGCACATGTTTCAACAACAAGAAAGGGAGGAAGAGGAGAAATACCACTGATTGATGAAAAAGCACTCTCAAGAGAGCTTTTCAAAAGCCTCAAGAAGAACTCCACTGAGCCTATCTGAATGCAGGAAAGTTGCAAAGTACATTTCTTTGATCTTTATGTATTACTACTTGCAACAATAAAAAGGTTCAGTTAATCAGGAGGGCAGAGATAAATATTGGGTGGCTAACTAGTGATCACTGCCACAAAAGTTTCTGGCATAGCTAAACATTTTGCAATACAGTCATGGAATATTTACTTTCTACACTGAAATATCTAGAAATAGCGTGTCAGTTGCAGAAAGGCAGCCCTAAAATTAATTTGCTCTACTATGCCTATTTTTTAGCATTTTC